GGGGGGGGGGGGGGGGGGGGGGGGGGGGGGGGGGGGGGGGGGGGGGGGGGGGGGGGGGGGGGGGGGGGGGGGGGGGGGGGGGGGGGGGGGGGGGGGGCGATTCTGGCAGCCTGGACGTACGTATGGGGTTGGGGAGACTGCTGTACTGCTGTTGTGCATACACGTGACAAAAAAACGGGACACAGAGAATCAAACGCGCGCCGGAGGGGTGCGGTGGGGGGCCAGGGCGTGTGCGTGTGGCAGCCTGGGCGTCTACGCGTAGTGGGGGGAAGGGGAGATGTGTGATGGTGTGCACGTACGGAACCAACAGAGGCAACGAGAAACGGGGGTGGGGGGGGGGGCTGGACGGATGGGCCGGGGCGTACGCGCGGGGCACGCGTACTGTGTCCACACAGACAAGCGAAAGGCGGGTGTGTTTTTGGCAGTCTGGACGTACGTGTGGGAGACGTGTACTACTGCCATCACCGACTTCCAAAACTCGATTACTCCTCGACAAAGAGGGGATGCCGAAATTCTGACGACCATTCCAACGCCGACGTCCTGTTGGCACCGTCGCTCACTGCGTTTTTTGCCGAGCAGTCGAGCATTGACAATCGGTCCATGGGATATTATATTTTACGCATCCTGCGGTAATGCCGACGCCCTGCAAAATGTAGACAAAAGGAGTGCCGTTGTTTTTCGGCGGGCAGAGACTAGAAGGTGCCCCTCTTGTTGGGTAATGCGCTGTCCGCGTCGGTTGAACCACACGGACACAGCAAGGTACCGAGCGCAGACCGGAACGTTTTTCTTTTCAATTTTCTACTCTGACACAACGAATCCATCTCCATCTGTAGGAAAGAGTCTTCGATAGACTAGCAATGAATTCATAGCGTCAGCGGAAACTAGTACCTGTATTTTGACTTCAGGGCAATAACGACAACGACAACAACAACAGCAGCAGCAGCAGCAACAGCGACAGCAGCAGCAGCAACAACAAATGATTGAGCCACCAAGGCATCCAGCGATTCGGAGAAGTGCCGATCCCTCTGCATAGCACCGGTTCGGTTCGCCCGACACACACGTACCGGCGCTACCGAAGGCACGCTCTGCCCCACCGCAGCATCACATCACGCAATGACCCGCGCGGGCGGGCCATTTGGAGAGTAAATCACCTCGCGGGAGAACGAGTCACTGGCCGACGACAATTGTGGTTCCGACAGAGTGTACCTCATGAGAGGGGGCTACAATATCAGAGGGAAGAAATCGGTTGTCACGGACTCGACCCTCCAAAAGATGGTAAATAGTCGGTTAAGCCTCTTTCTTCCGGTATACGAGGGGCTCTGGTAGTCAGTGAAGTCGAGGCCCTTTCTCTTCGCCCTCGTTTGTCAACTCATGAGAAACAAGCTATTAATAGTTTTTTTTTGAAAAAGTGGGGCCCGATAGGGGTACGCTTTTTGTTTTGTTTCGCAAAAAAAAAGCTGTTTAGAGGGATCGTGGGTGGAGTCTGTGCGCACGAGAAAAAGAATAATTTTCATGCACAGGGGCGTGAAAATTACTCCATGGCTGTCTGTCTT